CATCGCTCGGGCGTTGTTCCCGGCTCCGTGCCTGCTTGTCTGGCCCACAGCTCCAGGAGTCAGAGGCACGAGAACCAACCCCTCGCGTTTGACCACCCCCGCTGCCAAGTGGAAGCCAAGCATAGGGGGGGGGCCACATGTGGATCATCCTACCCCTCCCCCTCGGAAATCGTGGGGGGCAGGGGTAGGGTTCGCATGTGGCCCCCTAAGCAATACTAACCTGCTCGCGGGGAGCGTGACCGTGCCCTCGCGCGCCAACGCGCGACCCGCATGCCCGTCGATCTTCCCCACACTCTGAGGCGCCTCCCGCCCCCTCGCATTGCCGAGCCCCGATCTCCCAAACGCTGTCCAGAACGACGCCCGATATCGTTCCAGACGATGCTTTGGTAGCATGCCGGAGAGACGTGTTGCAAAATACCAGTAAGGTTTCCGGTAGAATGCCAGGTGCCTTTCGGCCTCGCCCGCACGCGTAAGATAACGATGCAGACGCGAACTCGGTATGATACCAAACGCGTTTGGTACAATACCAAATGCTCCCGGTATTGTGCCCAACTGTTCCAGCACGATTCCAACATATTCCAATACGACTCAAGTATTCCCAGCACGGTGTCAAATTATCGCGACACGATGCCAAACGTCGTGTTGGGGCGGAATCTAAGAATTCCCGGGTTATGCACTGCAATGAGGCGGGGGGGGTGACGCGCGCGCGCTGGTAAACAAGAGGTGCGACGTATGACTTGGTTGTGCTTGGAAGCGAAAGCGGGGGAGGTAAATCCGGATTTGATTCGCCCCTGCATTGCCCTCATTACCATGGATTTGGACTGCAGTAGCGCCAACATTTGGTCGTCCACCGAAGCTTTTCGATTGCATGCCGCTCCCCCGTCCACTTTGGCACACCCCTCACACGCTTCGTGGCCCCATCGGGACCTCCACCGAAGGCCCCCGTGGCATGGTTCGCATGCCGCCCCATCTCCACCCCTCACACGCTTCGCGGCCCCATAGAGAGCTCCACCGAAGGCTCCAATGGCATGATTCGCATGCCGCTCCCCCTCCACTTTGGCACACCCCTCACACGTTCCGTGGCCCCATAGGGAGCTCTACTGAAGGCCCCAACGGCATGGTTCGCATGCCGCCCCCCGTCCAAGTTGGCACACCCCTCACACGCTTCGTGGTCCCATAGGGAGCTCCACCGAGGGCCCCATTGGCATGGTTCGCATGCCGCCCCCCGTCTAATTTGGCACACCCCTCACACGTTTCGTGGCCCCGAAGGGATCTCCACCGAAGTCTTCAGTTGCGATGTTCGCATACGCTTCCCCGTCCCAGTACAGCGCGTCGTGGCCCCGTAGGGAGCTCCACCGAAGGCCCCAATGGCGGTGTTCGCATGCGTTTCCCCCGCCCAGTACATCGTGTCGTGGCCCCATTCGGAGCTCCACCGAAGGCCCCAGTGGCAGTGTTCGCATGCGTCTCCCCCACGCAGTACAACGTTTCGTGACCCCATAGGGAGCTCCACCGAAAGCCTCAATGGCGGTGTTCGCATGCGGTTCCCCGACTCGGTACAACGCTTCGTGGCCCCATTCGGAGCTCCACCGAAAGCTCCAGTGGCGGTGTTTGCATGCGTCTCCCCCACTCAGTACAGCGCTTCGTGGCCCCATTCGGAGCTCCACCGGCGCCCCCAGTGGCGGTGTTCACATGCGTTTCCCCGACCCAGCAAAGCGCTTCGTGGTCCCATATGGAGCTCCACCGGAAGCTCCAGTGGCGGCCCCGCCCAATTGCGGAGCACCCCTCACACGTTTCGCGGTCCAGTAGAATAGGGGTGTCCATCTAAAACCCCAGTGGCAGCGCCCACATGGCGGCCCCATGTTTGGCACACCCTTCGCATGCTTCATGATCCCAACAAGAAGATCCCCCGAAGACGATACCCGCAACGGCAGTGCTCACAACTGCATATGGATGGGTCCTTCGCCAGGATCAGTTGTAGATGTTGACAGAGGCAGCCGACGTCTTCAAACATCTTCCCCGCCCCTCGCTGAAGCATGGTCCCTCCCCCCGAAGGTGTTATCTTGCTCGTCTGGGCGTTTGTGGTGGCCTCTGGGCCATCCCAGAGCCTCTTCACTCCTTTCGGGTGTTCTTGGAATCGCCTGGGAGCTCTCTTGGGACATTTCTCCCCACCCCACCGGTGTACACCCTGCGAAATGCTTTAGAAATCATGGGTTAAGAAATTCATAGTCTCAGAGTTTGAAATCAAACCCAGAATGTCTATTCAAATGTTAGGTTTTACATCGAAACATTAAGAATAATCGAGACTCTGGCCGAAAACTTGGGTTTTCTTAAGCATCGCCTGGAGTGTATATTCTGCAGAACGGCGGACAGTCTGACGCAGCAACCTCAGGACAGACTTCTGTTTTGGCACACGCCCCGTTCCGATCCAGCAAACGCAAGTCAATATGACCGGAGCGAGAAGCCGCCGGCACGCCAAATGAGTTCCGAAGCGCGAAGTCGCCAGCACGACAAGTGCGTTTTGAATGCCTGCTCAACACGGTGGAGGCGCCAAACACGCCCTAACCTCTAGCAAGGCGTACAGAATGCGCGTGGAAGCAGTCAAAAACGGGCGGGTACGCAGGAAGAAGTCAGGAAACAACTGGAATAGGTCACGGGGAGAAAGGCAGGAACACTTCTTCTGCGAGCTGAGGTTAGATCGAGGGAGTGCCTCCATAACAGGTCTGGACCAACATCTCCAAAACAAATCCTGGACGCCTTACATAATGCAATAATAGATCAAACCAAATCTTGCCCCTCGGAAATTTTCAAGAAAATCTCCTGCGAGATCTCCCTGGCAAAACCTCCCGGAAAATCTTGCTCCTCGGAAATATGTCCCGGAAAATCTCATGGGGAATCTTGCCCCTCTGAAATCTCCGTGGGGATCTCCCTGAAAATCTTGCCCCCGGAAATCTCCCAGCAAGAATCTTCCGGAAATCTTGCCCATCGGAAGTCTCAAAATGGAAATCTCCCAGAACAAATTTCCAATGATATTCCCATTCACTGAGATGTCCTACATCCCAATGCATTCGAATCAATCCTAACACATTCTGGAAACCCCCGAGACTTCGCCTCGCCCCTCGGACATCTCAATGGAAATCTCCCGCGAAAAATCTTGCCCCTCGGAAGTCTCCCGGAAAATCTGCCGGGAAATCTCCTGGATCCGATTCCCAAAAAGATTTCCACTGAGATGCCGTATACATCCCAATACATTCGAATCAGTCCTAACACATCCCGGAAACCCCGGAGATTTCGCCGGAGATTCTCGCGCGGAAGGAATGGCCCGGAGATTTCGCCAGAGATTTCCAACAGAAGGGCGATTCCCAAAGATTTCCTGGAGATTTCGGTGGAGAGTTGGCTTGGAGATTCCGGATCTGCCTTGGGGATCTGAGGGGGCCCCAGCACCGCGGTCAGAGATCCAGGGGAAGACTTTCGCAAGCTTAGCGGTCAGAGTCGCTTCGGGCGTGCTATAGCTACACTCCCCCGATCCAGAGCTAAGGGTCTCCCCGCTCAGCGACCTGTCGGCGGTGGACAAACCTCCCTTTAGTAGACCTCCCCTTAGTGAAAACGGCCCAGGACCGAAATCGACGGACCTGGACCCGCAAAAATGACGGCCGCGACGCCCCCTCGCGACCCGAAACGGCCAATTCCTTAATCGACGTGTCCGGGTAGGAGGTCTGTCCAACCCCGAACCTGGGCGATCAGGAGGACGGCCGAAGCGAAGCGCACCACTCGCAGGGGGCAACCATCTCGCCAGGCATCGCCGGAGACCCGCTCGTCAGGACGCGCCCTCCGCCTCGGGGACCAGCCGCGCCTCCACCTCGGGAACCCCGCAGAGGCCCGCGAAGTGTGCCCTCCGCTCGACCTCGCACGCCGCGCGGCTGCTCCCCGCCGCCCGGTGCTCCTCTCCGAAGTAGTCGCGGGTCCAGCCCGCGAGCGCGAACTGCGGGCTGCCCGGGCAGCCCGCCGGCGAGCGGACGTAGCAGCCCGGCTCGCGCGGCGCGGTCCTGCCCCCCGCTCCCAGGCTTTTCGACCTGCCTCGGGGGCCGCAGGAGAGCACCAGGGACCTCCTCGACATCCAAAAACCCAAGTCGAGGTGGTACGCAGTCCAGGATGGGTCTAGACGTCTGGAGGGCCCTTTTCCCAGCACTCTGGAAGGTCCGGGAAGACCCCCGACGTCGTGATTTTCTCATCACGTCGGCTCCCAGAGGTCTCCACCCCTTCCCCAGGGCCGGCTTGTCGTCCTGAGTCGAATGTTTGACACCTCCACAGCCCCGCGAGGGCACACAGAGGCCGAAATAGAGGCCTCCTAGATGGGGCCGGAGTAGACGGGGTCGGAGGATCGCGCCGCAGCGGCGATGCATCAGCAACATCGGCGACGCATCCGCGACGTCGGCGTGGAGAAATTCGGGTTCCAAATCGAGCCGCATCGTCGATGCATCGGCGATGCGGCGCGATCCTTCGACCCCATCCATTCCGACCCCATCTGGGAAGCTGAGTTCGACCCCGTCCACTCCGACCCCATCTGGGAGGCTTAGACGAAATGAGCGACAAATCTCCCGTCGCGTTTTTTCATGACTCGAGGGAGTCTGGACCTGGACGGGATGTATAGAACAGAAAAAACGGCATAGACATAAACTTCTGGCGCTGCGCGCGGATTTCTTGGATCTGCGCGCCAGGGGCGGCGCCGGAGACGCCGGCGGGTGGGGGGGCGGGGGGGCCAGCGCGGATCAAAGAAATACGCGCGGAGCGCCAAAAGCTTATGGCTATGGCGCTTCTTCTTCTCCGAATGTAGCATGCCCGGCTCGCGCGGCGCGGTCCTCCCCCGGCAAGGGCCTGGCAACAGAGCCCCCGGAGGCCCACAGAAGTGACACCGTGACACCTCCTCCTCCTCCTCCTCCCCCTCCTCCTCCCCCTCCTCCTCTCTCTCATGGCGGTCGAAGGGAGCTCCTGCAGTCATGCTCACCTCCTCCTTCCTCCTCCCCTCCTCCTCCTCCTCCTCCTCCTCCTCCTTGCCTCCTCCTCCTCCTCCTCGGCCTCCTCGCTCGCTTGCTCCTCCTCCTCCTGCCTCCTCCTCCTCCTCCTTCTCCCCTCCCCCTCCCTCCCTCCCCTCCTCCTCCTCCTCCCCCTCCTCCTCCTCCTCCTCCTCCTCCTCTCCTCCCTCTCCTCCTCCTCCTCCTCCTCCTCCCTCCTCCTCCTCCTCCTCCTCCCGCCTCCTCCTCCTCCTCCTCCCTCCTCCTCATCCTCCTGCCCCCTCCTCTCACTCCTCTGCTCCTCCTCCTCCTCCTCCTCCTCCTCCTCCTCCTCTCCTCCTCCTCTCCTCCTTCCTCCCCCCCTCCTCCTCCTCCTCCCTCCTCCTCCTCCTCCTTCCCTCCTCCTCCTCCTCCCCCTCCTCCTCTCTTCCTCCTCCTCCTCCCTCCTCCTCCTCCTGCTGCTCCTCCTCCTCCTTCCTCCTCCTACCTCCTCCTCAATTTCCTTCTCCTCCTCCTCCTCCTCCTAGAAAAAAAACATCCTCCTCCTCCTCCTCCCTCCTCCTCTCCTCCTCCATCCTCCTCCTCCTCCTCCCCCTCTGCTCCTCCTCCATTCCCTTCTCCTCCTCCTCCTCCTCCTCCGCCTCCTCCTTCCTCCTCCTCCCCCTCCTCCTCCTCCTCCTCCTCCTCCTCCTCTTCCTCTCCTCCTCCTCCTCCTCCTCCTCCTCCTCCTCCTCCACCTCCTCCTCCATTCCTCCTCCTCCTCCTTCCTCCTCCTCCTCCTATCTCCTCCTCCATTTCCTTCTCCTCCTCCTCCTCCTCCTCCTCCTCCTCCTCCCCCTCTCTCCTCCTCCTCTCTCCTGCGCTCCTCCTACCTCCATTCTCCTCCTCCTCCTCCTCCTCCTCCTCCCCCTCAGTAGCCTTGGAGCACAGCCTGGAGCTTCTTCCGCCGTGATTTTCTCATGCCTCGAGGGGCCATGGGCCTGGAGGGCCTCGCTGCCGCCAGCGCCGCGCCCAGCGCCTCCGGCGGCCCCGCGAGGAGGCGCTGCTCAGAGCCCGGGCCCCGCCTCTGCGGCCGCGGCTCGCGCGGGCCCGCCGCGGGCGGGCCCGACGGGGGCGCGCCCTCCTCTGGGGAAGCCAGAAGGCGCCCAGACCCAGACCCCCTCGCGCTGCGAGCAAAATCGCAGCCGGAGGTGTTCCACGATGCGCGTCGGCCTCCCGGGGCCACTTACCGGGCCTCGGGGTCGCCGTGGTGCAGAACACGACTCGGGACGAAAGACCGGTCCCGGGGAAAGGGTCCCGACCTCTGGGGGTCGACGTCCCAGACAACCGGCCGCTCCAATGTTTTCGCTGCGTGGGCCCCAGAGGTCCGGACCCGTTCCCCATGCAGGAACGGCGTTTCGTCCTGAGTCGTCGTTCGACGCTCCCGAGGCCCGGCGAGGGCCCCCGGAGGCCGAAAACGGCCAACATCCCGCAGCCCCAATTGTTGTGGATCGTCGGACCTCTGGGGGCTGCGAAAGAAAGCGCGATGTCGGGGGTCTGGGTGCCGCTACTCCACAGAGCTCTCCCGGGGCGCGCTTTGACCAGAGTCTCGCAGTGCGAGGCTGGCCCTGGCGACAAGGGCCTCCCAGGAGGACCAAGAGGGCGAAAACGCGGGGCAAGGGTGGCATGTAACCAATCGAGCCTAGGCCAGAAGACCATCCCTCAAGAACGTGAGACCCTTCGCCAGCCAAAGCACCTCGACCCCAGGATCAATCGAGGGCACCCACCCCCAGGATGCACAGGAACATCCAACCAACAAACACGAACAACAATAGGGCAACCTCCCCGAACCGACCTCGATCTTAGACCTCGGCCGTGGGGAAATCAAGAGGGGTACCGACACCGCTACTCCCCAGACCTCTCCTGGGGTGCGAACTGCCCAGCTTTTGAGGCGAATCCAGCGGTGGAGACGAGGGCCTGCCAAGAGTCCCAAAGGGGGGAGAACGAGGGCAACGTAGCGGTATGGGTATTTCTTCCCCCTCCGCCTCATACATGACTCCGACTGGATGTGTGTATGTTCTGCCTCCTCTGACCTCCTGGCCTGCCGCGCCGCCCCAGAGCGTCTCTTCGGAGGCCTCCGCCGCATGGAGGACGATGAGGAGGAGGAGGAGGGGGAGAAGGAGGAGGAGGAAAAGGAAGAGGAGGAGCAGAAGGAGGAGGAGGAGGACGACGAGGAGGAGGAGGAGGACCAGCAGTAAAAGGAGGAGGAGGAGGAGGAGGAGGAGAAGGATGGAGGAGGAGCAGAAAGAAGAAGAGGAGGAGGAGGATGGAGAGAAGGAGGAGGGAGAGGAGGAGGAGGAGATGGTGGAGGAGGAGGAGGAGGAAGAGGAGGAGGAGCAGGAGGAGCAGGAGGGGCCTCGTCCGCGCCGCCCCAGGGCGCCTCCTCGGAAGCCTCCGCCGCCCCCGCGCCCTCCGCCAGCAGATCGGCGGGCGATCGCACGGCGCCGCCGGCCTCGGACGCGCCGCCCCAGGGCCTCTCTGCTTCACCCTCCTCCTTCACCTCCTCCTCCTCCTCCTCCTCCTCCTCCTCGTCCTCGTCCTCCTCCCTCTCCTCCTCCTCCTTCTCCTCCTCATTCCTCCTCCTCATTGCTCCTCCCTTCTCCTCCCGTTTACGTTGAACAAACCCGAGGTGAAAACCTGCGGCGCTTTTGGAAAAAAACGGCAGGCCTGTGCCCTGCAACAGTGCGGAATAGGGGAATATGCCAAGCGGTTGTGGAATAATGGAAATGTTTAGAATCCAGACCACGCTGCAAGCACAGGTGAAACAAGGAATGCCCCCCCCCCAAACAACCGTCCTACGAATCGGCCCCTCAACCACCGTCCTCGATGCTGTACATTGTAAAATGGCCCAGAAAACTGGCCTGTGTGAGTGTCTGCGGCCTGCGATAATCTGATCTTACATCAACTCAACACGTGACAACCATAGACAAAAAGACACCATGCAACTCTCATCTTGCTTGAGACTCGGGGAGCCGAAAGAGCGGAAGAGAGAAGCCAGAGCGGGGGGGGCCAGGAGCCAGGCGGCAGGGTGGAAGGGAGGAGCCAAAACACTGGCAATTATTCGAAGAGAGAAGGCAATGAACGGGACAGAGGAATTTATCAAGCAAAATCGCAGCTCCCCTTCCACCACCTCCTCCAGTGCTCGCCCCCCACGGCCGTCCTCAATGCTAAAGACTGCAAGGCTGGCCTAGAAGGCTGGCGTGTGTGAGGATATGATGCTGGCAATAAGCTGATCGTAAATCAACTCAACACATGTGACAACAGTTCGCAGGTGAGGCAATGAGAATGGGACGGGCGATTGTTGTCCGGCGAAATCGCAGTCCCTCCTCCTCCACCCCCTCCACCTCGTCAGCTCGCCCCCACCACCGCCGTCCCCAATGCTAGAGACTGTAGAGGCTGGCCTAGAAGGCTGGCCTGTGTGAGTGTCTGCTGCCGGCTATAATCTGATCTTATATGAACTCAACACACGTGACGACCCCAGACCCCCGACGTCATGATTTTTTCATGACGTCGACCCCCAGAGGTCTGGACCCATTCCCCAATACCGGCTTTTCATCCTGAGTGGTGTTTTGACGGTCCCGAGGGCCGGTAAGGGCCCCCAGAGGCCAAAAATCATGAAGAACCTCCCGTCGTGATTTTTTCATGACTCCAGGGGGTCTGGGACCATAGACAAGAGACACCATGCGTCTTTTACCTTGCCTGACAGTCGGGGACACGGAAGAGCGGAAGAGCGAAGCCAGACCGGGGGAAGGCCAAAGAGCCCGGCGGCAGGGGCGGGACCCAGCGGGAAGGGAAAAACTACAAACACGTGCGTAAGATTCAAAGATAGAGCGTTGAGAGCGGGAAGAGGAAATCCCACCAGCCCTCTGGGCGCAGGTGGTCTAACGTGGACGTTTTGTCCTCTTCCAGAAACCCCCTTCTGCCCTTCCGGTGAAGGGTTTACCCCTCCCCCTACCCCCTTTGTGGGCCCCGGAAGCGGCACGGCCGTTTTTTCACCGTTTCCAAAACATGTCCCTTAAAAGTGGAAACGAAAAAAAAATGCGTAAGATTCAAATATAGAGCGTTGAGAGCGGGAAGAGGAAATCCCACCAGCCCTCTGGGCGCAGGTGGTCTAACGTGGACGTTCTGTCCTCTTCCAGAAACCCCCTCTGCCCCTCCGGTGAAGGGTTTACCCCTCCCCCTACCCCCTTTGTGGGCCCCGGAAGCGGCGGCACGGCCGTTTTTTTCACCGTTTCCAAAACATGTCCCTTAAAAGTGAAAAAAAAAAAAAAAAAAAAAAAAAAAAAAAAAAAAAAAAAAAAAAAAAAAAAAAAAAAAAAAAAAAAAAAAAAAAAAAAAAAAAAAAAAAAAAAAAAAAAAAAAAAAAACGCGACCGGAAACGGCAACAAACGGCTCCAGGATTGGAGCCGAAGCCGGAACCGGTCAGAAAACGGCGCCGGAACCGGTAACAAAAACGGCGTCGGAACCGGCAACAAAACGGAAAAACGGAACCAGTGAAAAAACGGCCCTGTCGTTACCCCCGACCCCCTCCCCTCCGCTTAGTTCGTGGGCTCGGGAAAAGAAGGGGGTTCAACGTCAAAACACCTACGCTGGTGTCTCACGCACTCCCGCCAAAGTCCCCTGCGACTGGTTGTGCAACAGCCCTGCCTTCTCGCTAGGGCCGGCAGGGGGCATACCACGTTGCTCAAGGACTGAGCTCCGAGGTGGCCAGGAGGAGGAGGAGGAGGAGGAGGAGGAGGAGGAGGAGGAGGAGGAACGAGTTTGAGAGGGCGACCTGCTCAGGAAACCACGGTTACCACGGCGTCAACCCAAATCAATGAAGAACGCGTGAAGCAAACGGACATCACGTATCATGAACATGTGCGCATGCGGTGGAACGCAGAACAGCATGAGTAGCTGTGAGCGACGTGCGACATCCGAGGAGGAGCGGGAGATGAGAGGATACAAGAGTCAGCTGGAAACAACTGCTGGGGGCGCTGCCCCTTCGGCGACCTCGGCCCATCGGACGGCCCCCACCCTCCCTCCTCTCGTCCTCCTCCTCCCCCTCGCCCTCGTCCTCCTCGTCTTCCTCCTTTCTCATCCTCATCGTCCTCTCCCTCGTCCTCCTCCTCCTCGTCCTCCTCCTCCTCCTCCCTTAGTGGGCCCTGGAAACGACAGGGCCGTTTTTTTACCGGTTCCGTTTTGCCGTTTTTTTTTTACCAGTTCTGACGCAAGTGTTTTACCGGTTCCGTCGCCGTTGTCTGACCCGTTCCGGCTCCGGTTCCAATCCTGGAGCCGCTTTGTTGCCGTTTCCGGTCGCCGTTTTTTTTGCCGTTTCCATTTTCAAGGGACATTTTCGGGGAAACGGTTTAAAACGGCCCTGCCGCTTCCGGGGCCCACAAAGGGCCAGGAGGATGGTGAGGGGTTGCTCGTTTCTGTCGGGAGCCCTGAACACTGCCTGGTACCACCGCAGACGCTGAATCATGAGTTCCGACGAGACTGGTGCCAGTCGGAACAGCTGTAGAATGCGAGCAGACGAGAGACTGGTCTTACTCTGGGCGCCGTCGGCGAGGGCGGTCGTCACCGCAGCTACCCAGCACTAATACCCGACAGTGCCAAATCTGAGTCTCGTCGAGCTTGCCCACGTCATCCTGACTGAACGGCAGGCCCAGGACGCCAGACATCAGACAAGAAACGCACAGCATGCGAAAGAGAACCAACTTAAACTCACGACAGACCTTGCTTGACAAAAACTTGTAGAACATGCGCATCCATTCTCGCGGCCTGAATACGACGCTGACGTTCAACACCAGCGAATCCACTATGGTGCAACATGGGCCCCAAGTATCCCGCTTCTCGTACGACTCGACCTGGCACCCATGGTTCTGCACGCGCGCGCCTCCGCGCCTTGCTCGAGGACTTGCCCATGAAGAATGCGGCGGCCTCCAGTTTCTTTTCATTCTGGGCGCACCCGATCCGCAAAATATCTTCGGAGAGTGAATCACTGCATCGGGATGTCTCGTCTTGCACATCGGCAAACCCTCTCGCACGCAGAAGCCGGCGGACGTCATCCACAAATCGGAACACCGAGCAGACAGCAATGTTGTCACGAGTCACCGGAGAGGCTTGCAGCAATGGCTCGGGCGTGGCGTCTCTCCAGTCATCAACGGATTGGCCGTAAGGCTTCTCGAATAAACTCGCCCCGTCGGGCTGCCCTGCGCGACGCCCTCGCCGCGGTGAAAGTTGACCCGCTCGTCGATCGCATCAAACTCGGCGACGCACCCGCCAACGCGGTCGGACAGCATGTTAAAATCGCTCTCGGAATTGGCGGGGAAGAGGACGGTGTCGCGTTTCACGCAATTGAAGGCTTTGACGGCACAAATTGAAAAACATCATGGGTTTGTTTGGCAAGTCGAAGGCGTTCCATCATGCCTGTTGTCGCGGCAATGGTGCCTCCCAGGAATGTGGTACGCGCGTGGGTATACAATGTCATCAGGTTGTTTCTGGAAGAGCCCACGGTTTTCTATACAATAAACATTGCTATGCGCGCCATATCCGTGCACCCATCGAATATCTTCGAGATCCTTAGGACTACCAAAGCACCTGTCCCGAAGCCCTTATTGTGGTGCACGTCCACTGGAACGAACCTTCTGATGAAAATGAAGAGGGCGATCATATAGGCGTTGAAGTTGTCCAGTCGGTGTCTCAAGGCCGATCCCGTGCTGGGCAGGCGCGCCGCATGGTGGGGAAAGGTAAACATGAGCCAGATTTCGGAAGGAAGATTCCACGCAGGAGAAGCACGTCAGCTATTAGCATGGCCGAGGGAGCGAATAGTACGAAGCAGGTCACGTTCAGTATCACGGCGGAATTCTTCTTCAGGTGGTAACCGGGCGCTGTGTGCACGAATGATCAGTTGTGCATCAGCAACACGTCGCCTCTCCGTCCCTTCTGGTGGCCGGCCCTGGTAATCCAAAATTCAACTTCGGCGGCAGCGAACCGAAGTGCAACATGCCGCCCACCGCGTCAACGCGTGGGGCCAAGTCGCTTGCCTGTGATCTGCCGAGCGAGTTGGCGTGCTTCGGCATGGCGTCGATCCGCCCAGGCCTGAGAGCAGGCCTCCATCAATTGTAAGTGCCGGTCGGCTCGCGCTTGTTTGATGTGATCAGTGACGCATCAACTGGCACGTGAGAGCTGTATAGCCACCCGCCGCCCGTGCAGAAGATCCCGTCGTGTAAGTGGAAGATCTCCACGTAACGGCAACACCGGTCCCTCAAAATCCGCGCTCATGTGAGGGCTCGTCTGCAAGGCAGCTCCAATTCCAGGAAGCCGAGACGTCCACCTGACGGGTCCATACACATCGTGGGACCACCATTAGAAAACAGCTTGACGGAGGTCGCGCCGAACACCAGGAAAATGTAGCTTATGTTGCGTCATGCCGCGGAGCATGTTATCCTTGACAGGAGCGAAATATTG